GAGAAGGAGCAGACTGGATGATGGCACACAGGCAGAAGTGCAGGAACAGCTTGGCAGACGACACTCTGGCAGAGGTGCAGGAGCAGACTGGCAGATGGCACACAGGCAGAAGTGCAGGAATAGCTTGGGAGACGACACACAGGCAGGAGTGCAGGAACAGCTTGGCAGACAACACACTGGCAGAGGTGCAGGAAGAGCTCGGCAGATGACACACTGGCAGAGGTGAAGGAGCAGACTGGAAGATGACACACAGGCAGAAGTGCAGGAACAGCTTGGCAGACTACACACTGGCAGAGGAGAAGGAGCAGACTGGAAGATGGCACACAGGCAGAAGTGTAGGAACAGCTTGGCAGAAAACACACTGGCAGAGGTGCAGGAACAGCTTGGCAGATGACACACTGGCAGAGGAGAAGGAGCAGACTGGATGATGGCACACAGGCAGACGTGCAGGAACAGCTTGGCAGACGACACACTGGCAGAGGTGAAGGAACAGCTTGGCAGACAAACACACTGGCAGAGGTGCAGGAACAGCTTGGCAGGCGACACACTGGCAGAGGTGCAGGAGCAGATTGGCAGATGGCAGATGGCACGCAGGCAGAAGTGCAGGAGCCGGATACCGGCAAGGATAAGCTGGTTCTGGTGCAGGAGCAGAGTAAGGCAAGGTCAGACAGGCCGGGTCGGCAACTAGCAGGCAAAGCAAGCATAAACAGCAGGTAGAAGAGTAGTCAAAGAGCAGGCCAGGGGTCGGTACAGTCAGCGTTCAAGCAGGGTCAATAACAGATCAGATCAGCAACGGAATCACAGGTAAAAGGATGCATGGGTGCTCAAAAGTAAAAGACCGAACGGCACTAATGCAAGGCAATAGCCCAGCTTAAATAGCCTGCCTGGCAGCAATGCGCCGTCGTGCATGCGCATTTGCAAAATCTGCCACGAGCATGGCTAACAGGCATTCTGCGCCTGCACATATATATGCGCATTCTCTGACAGCCCGTTTGTCTATTTGGATCAGTAAAAAAATGGGTCATAGTGATATATATGTACAGTACCTGGTAGATTAATAAACACATTTGCTCATAAATGTATACATTGTAAAGGGTATAAAAGCCGCCTTGGTTCTCCCCATTCCAGATTTTTGCTATTCTTTTTTACAGCAGAACACTACATTTCTAATAGCATCTGGCTTTTTTTTACGACATCGTTATAGCACATACGTATTGCTCCAGAGGTGAATTTTAAAAATGAATTGCGTCACGCTCCAGCAATGAATGTCCCTGAGCGTTTTTACTCCAGGTTATTTTTAACCCGTCAGCCACCCCAGCGCTCCTCCTGCACTCCCATGGCACTACAGCAAAATGTGCTCATCTGTTGTGTATTTGATGCAAATGAAACATGAAAGTGATCGACTTCAACAAGGTTCTCTTGACTTTACAAAACTTTGGAGCATGTGAAGTCGACGTTCCTATATTTTCGTTTCGAAAGCGACTGGGGTATCCAACTGTTAAATATTTATTTTTAGCAGTGCAGTGCATCAGAATGTAGACCTGCCCTCTTTATGTTCAAAAGAATACAACTTGTAAGAGATCAAAGACAAGAGAAAGAGCACAATTATAGCCGAGGCCTTTATACTCCCCCCCATAGCTGCTCTAAAGGCTGCAATTAATTAAAATCTCTTCAAGTTTCTTAGTTGCGTTTCTCATTGTTTAATATGATGAGAAAGCATCTAAGAAAGCTGAAGTGAATTTAATTAATTGGCAGTTTTGATGCGGCTTTTGGGGATGGGTAGCAAAATGTTTAATTGTTGGTATTTATTTTAACATGTTCAACAGTTTTCAAATGTAATACAAACAGGTGGATCAATATGAGAGTATTAATATGGAGTTTGTAATGGGACACTAGAAAGCATTACCAGTTGCCTGACCTGTATAAGCAGCTTTTTCTAAAGATTGGGCATATTTGTCACAAAAAAAAAGAAAAAGAGAGGTCTGAAGAAGGAGCCTATTGAGCATGCTCCGAAATGCATTACCGCCCCCTTTACCTGCCACATCTGACTCTGCTCTCCAAGCATCATTTTGATGCACAGGCACATCCTGGACTCTACTTCCTGATCCTATAGGCATAGTTTGCTGTTGGACGGCTGGATGTCCCACCTGGATCTAATCACAACACGATGAGTCTTTTTAACCGTTTATCTTGTAAGTGCAAATTTTCCATTGTTCACTGAATAAATTGTCAATACTGCACTTAGAGGCACCTTCCTCTCTTTTTCTTGTTACTGCATTAGAGCCTTGCTTCCACTCTAAGAAGAGCTGCCTAAGTGTTACCGCTCCCATCCATCCATCCCTGATATCCATCTGGAACCTTTATCTTACAGCTACAGAGGTTGGGCTCCAACAAGTGCGCCCTATACAATATACATTTTCATATTTGTCACAAACTAGCTGCATTCAGGGGAAATAACAAAATGAGGCTATAAGGATTTGCGGAAAATCCACATGTGTGTTGGGGGCAGGGGCGGACTGACCATTTGGAATCTTGGGCACTGCCCAAGGGCCCGGGGTCAGTAGGGGGCCCCATGAGATGCCCCTGGTACCTTTTTCATAGGCTTTTTTGAGTTTGGGCAAGGACACAGGGGCCCCATGATCCCCTATTGCCCGGGGGCCCCATAAGCTGTCAGTCCGCCCCTGGTTGGGGGGGTTGTTTTACCAACCCCCCCAACTGCTCTCCCTTTAGCTGCAAAGGCAGCATCCAGGGGTGTACACATGTCAGGGTGCTTTGCTTTCTGGGTGTGCAGAAAATATATGCCGGTCATGTCTGGTGGGCGCTATCATCTGCTGAACATTAACCGCTTCCCGACTGCCCTATAGCAGAAGTATTGCTACAGGGTGGCAGGGATGTGCAAAATCACATATATATACACAAATTTGCATTTCCGGGTAGGGGGCGCTCTAGCTGCTATTGGCTCCTCGGCATGTCAATCACCGGATCCCGCCCACCAATTCTCAGCCAGTGACTGTTGGCAGAGCTAAATGGGGAGAGGTTTGTATGTAAACAAAAGCCCTGGTGGTGACACCATGTACTCAATTGTTCTCAACTTTCTCAGCTGAATAAAACAAGGCTTCATTTAACCTAGAAGACTGAGGACATCTAGTGGTGAAGAAGACGTACTGGGGACAGCTCTGGGTTGAAGGTGAATGTTTCGGCCAGAGCTGAATTTTCAGTACAGCCTAGGGGACTATTTCATGACATTAAAATGTATGCCAGAGTTGGGATTTGACCTCTTTTTAGCAAAACAGCTAATCTTACTAGTAGTGTAAAAAAGAAAAAAGAAAAGGAAAGTGCCGGAGCTGTAATATCAAGCAGAAAGAAGGCACATTGCATGCAGGGGGTGCACTGGACACCTTGGTTGCCATTTTGCTATATGCTGGGTGTCCAGTGCACCCTTGTACCTTTAAGGAGGGTTGGGATACCTCAGGTTCACCTGCCCTCAGTCTATCCATTAAATACACGTGCTTCTACTATGGAGGCTCTCAAAATTTATAGAGTTAGGAACTGCAGAATATTGGGGTGTCTTGAAGAGGCTCTGCAGCTTACGCATGTGTTAGAAACAGGGGTTTAGCACACATTTTCAAACGCATACTGTTAGACAAGTTAATTCAGTTGGTTTTCAAGCTGGTTGGTAAGTTGAGCTGGGAATGTTTCTCTTTTACTGTTTGGCATTGCATGTTTTATCTTTAACCCCCCTGGCGGTATTCCCGAGTGTAGCTTTGGGTTAACTTTCAGTACCAGAAGCGGTAACCCCCGATCTACACTTGGGATTACACTGCACCGTTGCTCAGGGATTCCCTCCAGCACTTACCTTGTCCTGCGCTCCCACAATGTCCCTCCTATAGTGTCCCCGGCCATCTCCTCAGGCCGATGCCGGCATCTGTCTTCCGGGTTCCGTTCCCTGCGAGTGTTGGGACGTACGGGGGACAGAACCGGTGGGAAATTCAAAAATTTTAAAAGTGACATTCACTCAATACACTAAAATCACATAGTAAAACATTACTGTATCAAACCATTTCACATACATTTTGTCCCTAGTGCTTTGTCCTGTCCCCTGCCTGCATTTTTACTGTTCTTTCTGCCTGGAAACTGAGAAACGTCCATGGCGTCCATAAAGCGTCCCTTTAGGTCAAAAGCGGTTTTAGACCAGCTAGAGAACAGCGATAGTAAATCAGAACCACTTGCAGCATTGAGTGATTTGTGGGGAAATTCGTCATCAGACACTGAAAACGATTTGCGACTTTGCGACTTTGCTCCGTGATGTGCGAACTTGGCGCTATATTTCAAGTTTCAGCGTTTTTGGTTTGATTACATTATTAAATTAAATGTATTATTATTATATTATTATTTTTTATGATTATTTATTATAATTTATGATTTTGTGTTTCAAATTTTATCATACCCGGGATGTTTACTAGACTCTTGTTCGGACAGATTTCAGTGAGTTATTCCTAAGAATTACAGGCCTACAATAAAAAAACAACATATTTCTATGCAAAAAAATGTACCGCTTTGAGCACAGAAATATGGACATATTCAGACTGCTAGGGGGGTTAATAGTGTAGCAGAAGTCACCTATTCAGAACAGAGAGCCTTGTACACATGATCAGAAAATCATACAAAAAATATTGCTTTTGAAGTGATTGTACGAAAATCTGATCGTTAGCACACAGCTTTCAACAGTCAATCACGGAAGTTCATCCGACATTATCCACTTCTGAAATTCTGTTTTGTTGTAGAAGAATTTTCATAAGTTGAATAACCTCTTCATTTTCATTATCAAACTAGCATGCAAAAAAAAAAAAAAAATGATCATACGTCCCCATATTCCCACTGTGTATGAGGCTTAAAGTGTTACTAAACCCCAGACCCTGCATTCACCATATCTCGTCTCCCAGGACCCTGCATTCACCATATCTCGTCTCCCAGGACCCTGCATTCACCATATCTCGTCTCCCAGGACCCTGCATTCACCATATCTGGTCTCCCCGGACCCTGCATTCACCATCTCTCATCTACCAGGACCCTGCATTCACCATATCTGGTCTTCCAGGACCCTGCATTCATCATATCTGGTCTCCCAGGACCCTGCATTCACCATATCTGGTCTCCCAGGACCCTGCATTCACTATATCTGGTCTCCCCAGACCCTGCATTCACCATATCTGGTCTACCCGGACCCTGCATTCACTATATCTGGTCTCCCCAGACCCTGCATTCACCATATCTGGTCTCCCCGGACCCTGCATTCACCATATCTGGTCTCCCCGGACCCTGCATTCACTATATCTGGTCTCCCCGGACCCTGCATTCACTATATCTGGTCTCCCCAGACCCTGCATTCACCATATCTGGTCTCCCAGGACCCTTCATTCACCATATCTGGTCTCCCAGGACCCTGCATTCACTATATCTGGTCTCCCCGGACCCTGCATTCACCATATCTGGTCTACCCGGACCCTGCATTCACTATATCTGGTCTCCCCAGACCCTGCATTCACCATATCTGGTCTCCCCGGACCCTGCATTCACCATATCTGGTCTCCCCGGACCCTGCATTCACTATATCTGGTCTCCCCGGACCCTGCATTCACTATATCTGGTCTCCCCAGACCCTGCATTCACCATATCTGGTCTCCCAGGACCCTTCATTCACCATATCTGGTCTCCCCGGACCCTGCATTCACTATCTCTGGCCTCCCACAGTACACAGAACATGGAAATGCAAATATTTTAGTAAATATAAACTGCTAAATACCTTTTCTCATCTGCAGTTAGAGCAGTCTTGTAACTTCTATCAGTGTCCAGCAGAGCATGGGTTGAAGCTTGTAGGAGGAGTTTTCATTTTGTTCTAGGAGGATGCACAACCCCTGGCCTCTGTCTGGATAGTGCTGATTAGCCCTGTGTTGATCACATGCACTCTACCAAGAAGACAAAAACCTCTCTAGCAATGCACACCAAACTGAGCATGTGCAGAGTGACTCCACACAATATGTCTTATCAGGAGATAAGAGGGGGACACTGGAAGATGGAGAGGATCAGAGAAGTCAGGATCAAGCAGCGTTTTTACACAATGCAGAGGATTAACCCCTTAGGTTCCACAGTGAGTATAACAAGCATGCTTTACTGCATATACAGACTGATTTTACTGTTGTTGGTTTAGTAACACTTAAGTCTTCTTGCTTACACTTTCAAAGCACAGGACTGCAATTATTGTACAACGTATTGATTCAGCAACCAATACATGGAAACAGCTAACCCCTGTATAATCCACAATATATTTAGTGTACCATGTATAACTCACCACTTAAAACAGAAAAATACCATACTTAGCAAGAGTGATTTGACAAAAATCAATTGCTATTCAGTATACCTTTTCAGATAGAAGCGTTGTTCAAGTTGAATAATTTCTCCAAACTTCTCTTGAATTGCCATTAAAAATAGGACTGGAAGGAATAACAGTCTGCTCATCATGTAATTATAATTTGATTTTACATGCAAGGAAAGAAACAACCCAGGACCCTCACAAGATCCAAATCCTTAGAGTAGCTAATAAAGTGAAGTTGTGGTCACTTTGAACAGCCAGTTAATGCTAGTGAAAATCCAGGTTTTTTTTTTTTTACGTTTTACTCTCACGTGATTGGGTATTCAAAGAAAACATAGCTTCACCTTACTTATTAACATTCACTTTACAAAATAAATGTACACATTACTTGGTGAACAGTAAATCAATTCCACCATCCTACCATGTCTTTTGAATCTGGCTTTTTAATGCTACGTTGGGAGAATATTGGAGAAATGGTTCAATGGAATATCTTGAACAGCACTTCATTCTGGAAAGCCTGTAAATACATTGGAGTTGATTTACTAAAAATGGAAAATGCAAAAGCTGGAGCAGCTGTGCATTGTGGCCAATCGGCTTCTAACTTCAGCTTATTCAGTTAAGTTTTGACAAAAAACCTGGAAGCTGATTGGTTTCTATGCAGAAATGCACCAAATTGTGCACCCTGCAGTTTTAGTAAATAACCCCTATTATCTTCTTTTTATTAATGTGGTGGTAAACCTCAGACATGGAAAATAAACAAAGCACATCCCATTACTCACCTAAATCAATAGCACGGAGTATGATTCCTCTCCGATCCCTCCTCTCTCTGCTATCTATATGATACACTTTTAATAGAGTAAGCTGACAACCTCCTGAGAGATGCCACCACCACAAGCACATAGCAGATAACTCACACCCTCAGCTCTATGGATCTCTGAGCCCGTGAAATAAGTGTGGGTGTCACTTTCCTCCAATCAGCTCTCAGATTGCACTCATCTCTGTGCTCTAACTCTGCAGTGTGTGTATCATCAGATCCCTGCCCCCTACTTTCTGCTACTGAGAAAAATCCTTTAATCTGTGTGTTGTAGAAGGCTGTAGAGGACAGATGGCTGCAGATAACCAGGTATAACTTACACAAAGATTTTTAAAAAACCTGCTGCGTATCACCTGGGGCCAGGGCTGTCTTAATAGCATCATGGGCCCCTGGGCAAAGTAAGGCACTGGAGCCCCTACCATCCTGCCCCAATTTACGCACCTACTAACAAGAATTAAAGTATAAATAGTTGATAGATTTAAACATATATTTATTAGTGAATAAATGAACACACAACACATAATAAATATAGTGTTATATTGGCGCTAAATGAATAATAAAGTGATAAAGTGAATACCACAAAATAAATGTGAACAATGAAACTAATAAAACATCCATGATTAACGTGCTAAAAAATTAATTTAAATTATAGTGATCCAAAGTCCATAGAAAACATAATATAGTGATCCAAACTCCATAAACGTATTTCTTTTCCTTCACCACGTGCTTTAAACAGATAATTGCCTTCCACTCTCGTGGTTGGCAAACAAGCTTCCTGGGATAATCTTCCCAATTATAGATGATGCTTATACATTGCATAAGAAAGACCCCTATGAGTAAGTCGGAAGTGACGAAACGCTTCAGGGCATGACGGTGCAGCGACCGGACGTGACGTGGACCGTAAGCGGAAGTGACGCAACGGCGTCAGTTACCACCAATCTGGAATTGGTGAGAGCAACTGGTCTACGATCACTTCAGGCTTATCCATGGTCAAATTATTTGTGCTTGTACTTGTTTGCTTGTGAGTAATGTCCATTCACTAAATTAAAGGATCTTGTTTTTTTTTACTATACCATTGGAGCGTCTTTCTGTTTATGTTTTACATGGTATATTTTTGAGGTAGTGGAGTTTTCTTTCTTATGCAATGTATAAGCATCATCTATAATTGGGAAGATTATCCCAGGAAGCTTGTTTGCCAACCACGAGAGTAGAAGGCAATTATCTGTGGTGGGTGTACATCCATGTGGGGGATTTCTGTGAAGCAATCGGTTTTCAGTTTAAAGCACGTGGTGAAGGAAAAGAAATACGTTTATGGACCTTGGATCACTATATTATATTTTCTATGGACTTTGAACAATGAAACTAATCAAACATCCGTGATTAATGTGCTAAAAATTTATATAAATTATAGTGATCCACACTTATTTTGTGGTATTCACTTTATCACTTTATTATTCATTAAGCGCCACTATAACACTATATTTATTATGTGTTGTGTTCATTTATTCATTATGGTTTATATAAAGTGGCAGCTTTTCACATATTGATCACATTCAGCGCAATATAATAGGTGTTGATAATTATCACGATTTTATTAGCACATTTATTTCTTTATATATTCATTAGTACTTTAAATTCAATTCTTGTTTAAAATAAATTTTATTGAAACTATAATTGATTTTCTGATTTGTTTTCTTATTTAAAATAAAAGACAAATCAACATGAAGGACTTGGTATGGAGGAAAGGGCGGGGAAAGGCACAGTACAGGGGGAGTCAGGAGGGCACGATAGTCTGGGACGCTGCCTGGGCCTCCTGGGACAGCCTAGTAAAAAGCACGACTGTTTCAGCAAATCCATGACAGTTGGGAAGTATGATGTAATGCAAGATAATCATGGGACCCCAATGCATCTGGGGCCCCTGGGCAGTATTTAGGGGTGCCCTTGCACTAAGACAGCCCTGCCTGGGGCCAGTCACTTCACTGAGTATATGTGAGGGTTTACAACCACTTTAAATGGACCATCACAGAGACTGATCCTTTTGCAATGGGTGTTGTAGTGGCGCAACTTTGAAGACAAAGAAGTTCACTTCTATCGTTGGCTTTATACATGGGTTTTTTTCAAGGATTTTTCAAGGACTTTTTTATATCTGATGACTTTTTTTTTACTGCAGAATCTGTCACAGCCAGGGGCAGACTGACCATTTGGAAACACGAGGGCCCGGGGTCAGTAGGGGGCCCCATGAGGTGCCCCTGGTACCTTTTTCATAGGCTTTTTTTTTTTTTGAGTTTGGACAAGGACACAGGGGTCCCATGATCCCTTATTGCCCAGGGGGCCCCATGAGTTGTCAGTCCGCCCCTGGTCACAGCATTTTATTTGTATACCATTGTTTTTACTTGTAGTGTTGAACTTTATTTTATATAGTGTTCATTTACACATTTAATGTCACAGCTTTTTGGATTACATCGGGTTAAAGAACATTGTTTGGTTAAATTATATGATACAGCCTTGTAGCTCTGTTAAATATTGGACAATCAAGATATAATGGCTACTGCAAAATTCACAGCTAAAATGATAGTGCAATGTGAAAGACACCAAAATGAAAGCCCAAGAGTTCTAACAATTATGCAACAGATTCTGATGGGAAAAATTGTTGAAGATGAAGGAATCATCTGTGTGTTTGTAGTTATCATGGGATATAAAAGACCAACCTCTGGGTATGAGCAAACAACTTAATCAATATATCTTTTTTTTTTACAAAATAGGTGTATCTATACAAACCATATCCAGGGGTACCTTGGTTTACGAACGCCTTGGTTAACATAATTTTCGGTTTACAAATGAAAATCTATTGAAAATAATGCCTCGGTTTACAAATGTGTTTTTTCGCAATACAAACAGATCAATTGGTTTTCAATGCATTTAAGAATTTTTTTTTCAATCATGTCCTTGTACAGTACTATGCTTTTAAAGTGCACTTTATACAGAGTTCTGAACTGATGAGACTTTTTTTGACTTTTTTCTAACCTCCAGAATGGATTAATTGGTTTTCAATGCATTTACATTTTTTTTTAAATCATGTCCCTTTAAACACTTGCCTACAGGGCACTTACAGTCAGGTCCATATATATTGGGACATTGACACAATTCTAACATTTTTGGCTCTATACACCACCACAATGGATTTGAAATGAAACGAACAAGATGCGCTTTAACTGCAGACGATTAGCTTTAATTTGAGAGTATTTACATCCAAATCAGGTGAACGGCGTAGGAATTACAACAGTTTGCATATGTACCTCCCACTTGTTAAGGGACCAAAAGTAATGAGACAGAATAATAATCATAAATCAAATTTTCACTTTTTAATACTTGGTTGCAAATCCTTTGTAGTCAGTTACAGCCTGAAGTCTGGAATGCATAGACATCACCAGACGCTGGGTTTCATCCCTGGTGATGCTCTGCCAGGCCTCTACTGCAACTGTCTTCAGTTCCTGCTTGTTCTTGGGGCATTTTCACTTCAATGTTGTCTTCAGCAAGTGAAATGCATGCTCAATCGGATTCAGGTCAGGTGATTGACTTGGCCATTGCATAACATTCCACTTCTTTCCCTTAAAAAACTCTTTGGTTGCTTTTGCAGTATGCAAAACAAACCCATCAGAGAGATAGCAAAAACATTAGGCGTGGCCAAAACAACTGTTTGGAACATTCTTAAAAAGAAGGAACGCACCAGTGAGCTCAGCAACACCAATAGACCTGGAAGACCACGGAAAACAACTGTGGTGGATGACTGAAGAATTCTTTCCCTGGTGAAGAAAACACCCTTCACAACAGTTGGCCAGATCAAGAACACTCTCCAGGAGGTAGGTGTATGTGTGTCAAAATCAACAATCAAGAGAAGACTTCACCAGAGTGAATACAGAGGGTTCACCACAAGATGGAAACCATTGGTGAGCCTCAAAAACAGGAAGGCCAGATTAGAGTTTGCCAAATGACATCTAAAAAAGCCTTCACAGTTCTGGAACAACATCCTATGGACAGATGAGTTGCAAGGTGGGGCATGAGTGGATTGGACATCCCAGAGATGCTTGTTTGGATTGTGATCTGGAGAGTTTGGAGGCCAAGTGAACATCTCAAACTTGTTGTTGTGTTCCTCAAACAATTCTTGAACCATTTTTGCAGTGTGGCAGGGTGCATTATCCTTTTGAAAGGAATCAGGGAATACCATTTCCATGAAGGGGTGTATTTGGTCAAATGTTTTTGTCAATGTTTAGGTAGGTGGTACATGTCAAGTAGCATCCACATGAATAGCAGGACCTAAGGCTTTCCAACAGAACGTTGCCAAAAGCATCAGAATGCCTCCTCCAATTAGCACTCAGACACAACGTAAAAGAAAATGTGATTCATCAAACCAGGCCACCTTCTTCCTTTGCTTTGTGGTTCAGTTCTGATGCTCATATGCCCATTGTAGGCACTTTTGGCTGTGGACACCGGTCATCATGAGCATCCTGACTGATCTGCAGCAATGCAGCCCAATACACAACAAACTGCAATGCCCATTTTTTTCATGTATACTCTTTTTTTACATAGCTTTTGAATATTAACATCTTACATATCAGCTGGGCTTACAGTCTTCTCTGGAATTAGTTAGCATACAAAACTATACCTGGAGGAGTCTTGATTTTCCAAACCTAATTTACAAGAAATTTGTTGTTATGATGATAGCTTGGTAAAATATATCACAATATGCAAATAATCCAATTAAAAAAGTCATCAATAAATGTTGGCAGGTAATAAAAGCCTACCATCTATGCCATGTAAAAAGCAGCACTAATATTACAATAATTAATGTTGTTTTCTCATGCAATGTTGTGTATACAAATATCACACTTATCATTTCTATTAATGCTACAGTCACGCAGGAAATGATTTGTGATAGGGAATGTACCAGGATAAAAAAAGTCAGTTTATTTTAATATTTAGGTTGAACAGCTGAACAAATAAAAATAGTAAAATCACATGTTGCTTGTCTGTTGTACAAAGGAATCTTGTTCTTATTCATAACATAAGTACTTTAAAAGACTCAACATTCAGCTTGAAGAGATCAACCTTATAATAATTCGTTTTTTAAATGGTTACCATTAAAATTAGAAATTTTCTTTACATTTTGTTTATTTTTTTATGAGCAGAGGTTATTAATGCCCAGCTGCCCAGGCCAAATTAAGTTTTTCAGTATGGGCCTGTGTTGATGGGCTTTTGTTCATGTGTGATAGTAGATTCAGTTTGATAGGTCCACTTTATGGAGATATCTGATGTCTCCCCTGCACTACTCCAGGAAAGATCAAGTACAGACTGTGCTCAGTTTGGCCAGGAAAAGGAGCCAGGATCTCACTGCTGTAACAATACTGTATAGTGGAAAGATCGGTGAATGTATGTTCTCTGATATTCCTCTATTTGACATGTGAACAGTTTAGACCTCCTTGGTGCTAACCCACTCAAGCATTACTTGGAATCAGAATTCTGCATAAAAATGGTTATCTGGAATGATGCTATGTTATTCTTTTTTTATATAGGATTCAGAGCCTAAGTAATGCTTGGGGTTAGTGCTAAAACATTAAAAAACATGACATCTTGCTTACTACTTTGCATGTGATCACTGATTGGCCAATCAGTGATCACATGATCGGGACCTCACACAGAGGTCCCGTGCGACAATCGGTGTTCCACTGTGTCCGAAGTACACAGCGGGCACTGAATCACGGTGCTGCATGCTCCCAGGGAGCTATGTATGAACGGCAACCCGCCCCTGGACTACCACCATCCGGCCATTCATATACAGCGGCCGGACGGCAAATGGATAAGAATTATTATAGAAACTCCACTTTTGTTGAGAAAAACATTCCCCTCTGAGTAATCAATGTACATTGCAAGGCTTTTAACAAACTTTGTTGCAGAGTCCTCCCTGTTTCTGCTCTGAAGGAATAACTCTTTGTAAGATCATGTCTTGTGCAGGACTGATTAGGATTGACTTGATCAGCTGATGCACTTGCAGGGCCCTAATTAGGAGAGTGGCAGGGTCTGCATACCTTTATTATCCCTTTAGGAGATTCTCAGCAAAACTGAAATTTTGGTTGTGGAGCATGCCTAAAATCTAACATTTATCTTAGGGCAGACTTCTGGAAAAATCAGTAAGCCAATCACACAAGCAGAAAATTACATCACTAGGGACGTTCCATATACCAACATTGTACAGAATGCCTCCAGGTTGTCATATTGCATTACATTTTATGGAAAATTACAGCACTGCAGATTGAAAACGAAAGGTCATTTTTTATAACATTCATTTACAATATGGCTTGTGTTGCAATTGTATATGCTATATATATATATTTTTTTTTTTATTTGCAATATTTACCCTTTGAAATTATTGCTCTCCCCTTCTGTGTTTGTCCCCACCTGCGCTTCCATGGGTGATTGACGCTTTTAATTTTTACCCTTTTTGTAGGTGAGGGATTTTCTCAGGTAACATGCATCAAATGTACACCATTGAAGATGAATAGATGGATTTTAAAATGCCGACTTTGATTGTTTTAGAGCTAATTGACCCTCTAACTCCTGAAGAAGCGGAATAATACAAATCCTGAAAATGTCTCAAGCTGAATTATCTATCACAATCACTATAGAAGGAAATTATTATTAATATTATTATGGTTTATCCATAGTCTGTCAATATGTACTCCAGCTGTGTTAGAATCAAGTTTGGGTCTCTGTGACTATATCGCTCTTGTTGTTTTATCTTCCAGTATATTGTTTTTTATATGTTTTGTACTAATAAAGCTATATTGTTTTATGGAAAAAGGATTGTAATCTTTAGTGCTTCAAAACTCCTGCCTCATAAAAGTTCATGTTTATACACAGTAGACGTATGGACCAGGGGCGGACTGGCAACTCATGGGGCCCCCAGGCAATAGGGGATCATGGGGCCCCTGTGTCCTTGCCCAAACTCAAAAAAGCCTATGAAAAAGGTACCAGGGGCATCTCATGGGGCCCCCTATTGACCCCGGGCCCTCGGGCAGTGCCCTAGTTTCCAAATGGTCAGTCTGCCCCTGGATGTGACACAACTAAGAGAGCAGAATTAGGCATTAATTACTGCTCCTACTCCAATAAAACCGCTAACATTTTTTTTTTTTTTGCTTTGGCAAATTTCCAGGGCAGTGCCCAGCCCCCATGTTATTTGTTTGACAAACTCTTGCCTATTAGCCTAGAAAATGGTCATTACTGTTTTTTAATGTTCAGCTCTCATTGACTTTAATGAAGCATGAATTTGGCATCCAGTTGTTTATAATTTTTGCCAAACTTGCCTTGAATTGAACCCAGGTATGTTCAGCTCATAAGTTTGGTTCATGAACAGTTTTACAATTTTTTTGCTCAAAGTTTGAATTTTGTGACAAACTCAATTGAAGTATATGGGTTTGAATGTTGTTCTTCAATTCAAGTTTTTGGTAGGGCTAATAGCCAGCTATTGTCAAACAAAATGCATTGGAAGCTGAGCATTGCTGTCGGGGATTTGTACCAATGCCAAATAAAAACATATATATATATATATATATATATATATATATATATATATATATATATAACAGAATTGTCATCTCTCCCTAACACTCAATGACAATATGGCTGCTGTGAGCCCACCCAAGTGTTACTAAACCCAGAACCCTGCATTCACTATATCTGGTCTCCCACAGTACACACAACATGGAAGTGCAATTATTTTAGTAAATATAAATTGCTAAATATCTTTTCTCATCAGCAGTTAGAGCAGTCTTGTGACTTCTATCAGTGTCCAGCCGAAAACATGTTAAAGCTTGTAGGAGGAATTTTAATTCTGCTCTAGGAGGATGCAGAACCTTTGACATTTGTCTGGACAGTGCTGATTGGCCCTGTGCTGATCCCATGCAATCTCCCAAGAAAAAAACAAAATCTAGCAATACACACCAAACAGAGCTTGTGCAGAGTGTCTCCACATGATATGTCTTGTCAGGTGATAAGAGGGGGACACTGCAAGAAGGGAAGGATCAGAGAAGACAGGATCAAACAGCATTTTTGCACAATGCGTAGGATTAACCCCTTAGGTTCCATAGTGAGTATAAGAAGCATGCTTTACTGCATATACAGACTGATTTTACTGTTGTGGGTTTAGTAACACTTTAATGGAAAGAGGTCAGGGCTATTCATTCTTTTGAAAAATCAGACTCTTGTGACACAGCTGACAATGGAAAATGCTATGCACTGCATTTAAAGTTTTTCCTTCTTTCTTGCAGCAAACCTACAAAGTTTTTGGCCAACAATGTGCTATTTTCAAACTTCAAGAACTGTGGAGATTCACCACAAACCCATGGTAGTGACAGACCCAAACCCCATCCCTACGCCCTACCCAATACTAAAAGCGACAGGACCTGAAGAACTATTAAGAGGACCCTAACAGTAACTTTGCAAGTCTGTGTGAATGCATTCATGACATGTTACAATATATAGCAATAGGTTAAAAAAACAAAATCTCCTAATGGAAAAGTATGTCAATGCAAGCCAAGTGCTTTACCAAACCAAGCTATTATGTTTGTTTTTTTAAATTCCAGAACTTCTCTTTTAAGGTAGCACTCCTGGCCCTCCAAATGCACAAACATTCATACTCACCTAGGTGGATGCTGCATCTGTCCCTTGCCAGCTTTAAGATGAAGAACTGAGCAATCAAACACCACTGATTGCTAAGCTCTTGGTCTTCTGTCTGCAGAGAGCCAGTGACTGTTAGTCACCGGCTCTCTGTTTTGCCCCTCCAGTGTTCACTGGAGTGCCAGGATGTGGATGGCATGGCTCAGACTCTCAGTGGCTTGCTGTGAGGCTGAGCGAGCTGCCAGACCTGGATTCTGGGTGGATCTAGATTGTTGGGATCCAGAGCCTGAACAGGTTAAGTGACGTCAGGAGACAGCAAGCTTTAGTCTGCTGTCAGTTGAGAACGTGCCATAGGAGTGCAGAACGAAGAGACCTCTTGTGACCGACCGAAAGAGCTTTGGCCATACTTCTGCTTTAAAGTAGATAGTTTTGTGCATAAGCATCTGACACTCCTTGAATATCCAATGGATACCCTTGGTCTAGTCAACCATGAGGTTGAACACTGCACCCTTTCAACACCCTTCACGTTTAATGCCGATATTTTTGGGACATCTTGTGAGATCCTAAATAAAGGCATTTCTTAGACCTTGGGAACAACTTCCAAGAACTTTACAACTTTTGAATCTCAGTGTAGGCACATACTTTGTAATTTATTATTCTTATTTGAAATGTCTTGTTACTCAGAAGACATAGCAAATGAGTTCTGTTGTGCTTCAACATATGACATGACTTTGAAGAAACTTATTAGATCTGTTTATCTTATTTTATCTTAATATCTTTCTCATATTTCACTTTCAAGTCTGCATTGACATTGATCCCATGAATATATCAAATTAAATTATGTATGTGGTGCTAGTCACATAAATCAATACTTCATTTGAGTGTGCTACATATTTTTGCAGCATGTATGGGGTATTTTTTTGGTTTTGCTATTGGTCTAATAAGTTGGTGTTTAACAAATACATTCAAGTAGAACTAAAGGCATTTTTTAACTGGAATAAATTGGTGAGGGGTTAGAACATCTATCAGGTTTATATTGTTATCTCTGTTAGGGAGATTCATTCATCTGAATTATCCTGATCACCAATATCACCAGAAACAAAAGTGAGAGAAAATCCAACATTTTGAGTGGTCACAAGAATAGGAATGGAGGGGACATTTTTTCATGGTGACACTTGTTCCTGTGACAACTGTCTAAGGGGGGATTTTCCCCACATTATAAAAATATTCTTGTGTAGCACTTATCCCCAAACACAGTAAATATATATATATATATATATATATACCAGAAAATGACACCAAAATGATTGAGTAAAGGCAAAGTGTATAGCAACAGGTGTAAGTGTGGGTGTAAATGAAAAAAAAAAAAAAAAAACTATACAGTGATAAATCAACAAGGGAAGGTTATACTGGATTAATTCACCATCAAAAGTGATAAAACAGCTATCAACAATCAAACAACAACAAATAGTAGTATTGCAGTAGTTAACTAATATAATTAACAGGCTGCAAATAGTAAATACTTAAAATTCCACCTCTTTCTTATACCTACACAGGGTAGCCTAACTAAGGGGAGGACCTATAGGTTGATACTGCAGCCACAGTCAGCAATTGGTAGTACACATAGGTTAGGCATGTTCTGCTGGCCAGATCGTTAGGGTCCAAAATCTTGCACTGCAGCTTTTGGGGTATTGTCCCTTTAAGAGTTTGTACATACAGTGGTAAAGTGTTCCTATCTGGCAATTCTGTCCTTCTGCTAATAACTGCGCTGTATGCTTGACCAGCAGATGCTCACCAGTCCCGTGTAAGCAGAGATTTTCTGTCCAAGTGCCAGGAAAAGGGCCTCTCTCTCTCTCTGGTGGTATTCTCAACAGTCCAAATTGCAATCCAAAGCTTTGAAATAATGTTCGCTCTGCCTCCACTGCTCTCAGATAAGGATCGCTCACTGTCCTCAGATAAGTCACAGTCTGTCTTATTCCTTTTTAAGCCCCTGAAAACTACTCTAGTATTGTAGCTTGCAGCAAACCTGAAGTAATAACTCAATCTCTTCGGTAAACTGCATTCCCCACATTCTCCATGATTTTCCTCCACTACAGTGCATCACACAGTCCCCTTTTTGTTGTGTGTAAAAAAAATTAATGTACAGCAGTGCAGTGAATTGTGCTGTTGTATAGTGATATGCAATTTTTCTGTATGCTGCAATAAAATGCAGCCTGTCTGCATTTTATTGCAGCTCATTGCACCACACCTCTGGACTACATTGCAGTGTTAATAGAATATGTACTAAAAAAGCGCTTTCTGTGTGTCCTAGCAGTGACCTGAATTCGTGCAGTGCGGTAAAATGCAGGTAACTGTATTGTGTGAACATGGTGTAAAAGTAAAATGTACTTATGTCAATTCTACCTGGTCCTTGGTACAATTTATAGTTTGGATCCCTTGACTCTACAGTAATGTTGTAAGAATTACTGGTCCCTCATAAAGTGATTCTCAGCTATCCCTAATGATCCCTGTTGTCAAAGCATGAGCTGTCAGCTGACCTTATCTATCTTTTCTTTTCCCCTGGACATGGTAGTAGAGAGCTAATGCCACCCAGCCAAAAGGTCTGTGGGAGTGTGTGTTGTAGTGTTTGCTAATGCTCAGCTAAACACCCTTAATGCCAACTACCCTGAGTTAGGCTGGCCATACATTATACAGTTATCTGTTCAATTTCTGTCCAATTTCCTTTAGATTTACCATCAACTATGTAGTGCAAGGGCCTGCCTAATTGGATACAGTTGAAAGTGTTGTTTAGGTTTGACCTCATATTATATGGTTTTTTGGTAAATCTAAAGCAAAACTCTCAAGAAGATTGTATAATGTATGGCCAGCCTAAGTCTATAGTTCCAAACAAGTCCTATACGACAAGGCTTCATGCTCTGAAAACTAGCATATCAGTTATTAGTATGAAATTATGGTTTGTTAGAGACCAAGCGTGATATGTATCCAATGCATTTTTCTCCTGTGAGGTTTAAGGTGTCTTATTAGTCTTTTGGTCCTTGCAATATAGCCATGTTTGGTATCTAATGGAGTTATTTATTATCCACATTAATGTAATCACTTTTCAGAATAGTAGCTCTATTATAGTGAGATATATAGAATATGTACTAAAATAACTCCATGACATTCAGTTATAGGTCAGTACCACAGTTGTGTAGTCTCATACTGCACACAAGACTATTTATTGATAGAACCATTTATAATGGGGCCTTATAAAAAAAATTATTTCGACCCTAGTCTAGTTAAGGTTTATAATCCCTCTGCCTTCCTTGTAAACTGACTCATGTTTTTTGTTGGTTAAATGTGCTTCCCAACTTTTTCAACAGCACTTCCCTCTTCTCCAAACACAGTATGGAGTCCATCTGACCCCACTATCATCATACTGTGGCTTTGACACCGCCTGGTACAGTCCAATTGTTGTAGAGATATGTAAATTCAGTGTTCCCCAGACCTGTCTTTTCAGGCTGAGGGCGGTCAACACTTTTGTGATTTTTTATTTTTTTACGTAACCACTATCATGAAAAATATTGGATCTTTATAACCATCTAACAAAAAAATCACAGTGGCTATAAGCTATACCCACTGCCAGGGGTGCTTGAATTAACCATTCATTTTTTACACTTGAACCATGAAAAGATAACCAACATGAAAGCCTACGGTTTTGTTTTAACTTATCCAACTCCTGTCACCGTAACTCTGGCCAGAGAGTATTGTTGAATTTGAAGCGCCACACCACTGTAAGAGGTCCAGATACAACTTTACTCCAATAAATGTCAGGTGTGTAATTTGAGAAGTATCCAACGCATTTTGGGGGGTCCAATTGCCCCTTCATTAGGGATTGACTGGCTATAAAGTGAACAGACCAGGAGTGAACTGGACCTACAATGTATTTATTCCAGTGTGAATTAAAAGCAAAGCCCTAATCAGCAGCTTGTATGGCAGTTCATTCTTGGTCTGTTCACTTGATTGCCAGTCAAGCCCTGATGAAGGGGGCACTTGGACCCCCAAAACGTGATGGCTACTTCTCAAATTATACCCCTGACCCAGTGATTGACATGCTGAGTAGTCAATAGCAGCTTGGGTAGGGAGAGCGCATATGCCCCCCCACCCGGAAATGCAAAATCATGTATATTTACGTGATTTTGTGCATCCCTGCTGCCCTGTAGCAGTACTTCTGTTATAGGGTAGTCGGGAAGTGGTTAAAGAA